GGCAGGTCGCCTGAGGTCAGAAGTTTGAGACCAGCCTGACCACCGTGGTGAAACCCCGTCTCTATTAAAAAAAAAAAAAAATAGAAAAATTAGCCAGGCGTGGTGGTGCATGCCTGTAATCCTAGCTACTTGGGAGGCTGAGGCAGGAGGATTGCTTGAAACCAAGAGGCTTCCGTGAGCCGAGATTGCACCACTGCACTCCAGCTTGGGAAACAGAGGGAGACTTTTGTCTCAAAAACAAACAAACAAACAAACAAAAACACCATAAAATTAGCTAGGTGTGGTGCTGCGTGTCTGTAATCCAAGCTACTTGGGAGGCAGAGGTTGTAGTGAGCCGAGATCAAGCCACTGCACTCAAGCCTGGGTGACAAAGCGAGACTCCATCTCAAAACAAAAACAAACAAAAGCAATAATTGTCCCTTATGCTAACTCTCCTGTTTGATTTGTATTTCCAACGTGAACAGAAAGCCTTTTGGAAGGCGTAGGCTGGGGCTGGCCTGGGAACCCCTTACTCTCCATCCCCCACCCTGACCAACAGCCTGGAGTCCAGCTTGGCTGGGCAGCGGAAGATCACGGGCACTGAGGGGTGAGTGGGTGGGTGTTTGTGGCTGGAGGCCCTGGGGGTGTTCCTGCCCCCGCCCAGGCGTGTGTGTTGGGTGGCGGGGGGAGGCTGCTGCCCTCTGTATCTGGTGGCAGCTGTGGGGCGTGCTATGACTCTCCAGGCTGGGGTTTTGTTAGGGGAGGCCTTGGCCGTGGCTGAGCCAGGCGGTGCTGTTTGCTTTAGGGTCACACGGTGGATTGAGGTTGGGGGCAGGTTTATGGGGTGTGTCGGGGGTGGGGAGAGTTTCACGTATCTGGGAGCCTGGCACACCAGCCGTCCCCATAAATTCGTGGCCTGTGGAGGGCTGTCCCGGGAGTGCTGGTGGGGGCGTGGGATGGCTGTGCAGCCCCCGAGTGGGACAGCACCCGTTGGTTCTGCCTGCTTTCCCACAGGGCTGAGTGTGGGTAGCGTCCGGGGTGTGGGGTGTGTGCCCTCCGAGGCAGCCAGCTGTCTCCCTCACCTTGCTCCGCCCACATTCCAGAGGGGTTGGGGGTGCCCTCCCCGGCTCCCGCCCACTCCCCGACCTCCGACCTCCGCCCGAGCCCACTCCCTCTGCTCCGGCACCCGAGGAGGCAGCTGGCTCCAGGGAGGGGCTGCAAGGCGGGGGAGGAGGCTGGAATGTGCCCTGGGGAGTGAGGGGGCCCCCAGAGAGGGGGCGGAAGGGAGGGAGGGGGGCGGAGGAGAGGGTGGTGCTGGGTTGGAGAGACCGCCGGGGACCGCCAGAGATCGACAGAAATAGACAAAGGCAAAAGAAAGAGCAACGGAGGGAGTGAGAACCAGACAGAGGGAGGAGGCCAGGGCAGGAGGGCCCTCAGAGGCAGGGCCCAGGTGAGAGCCTCCCCTCCCCCACCCTGCGGGCTGGGCAGCTCACCTGTTCCAAGTGACCCCAAAGGCAGCCAGTTCTCTGCCCTCCGAGGGCTAGGCGGCCCGTGGGTGGGGCTGCACCCGGCTCCTGGGTTGGGCCCCAACGCCCTTGGCCACGGGGTGGTGGCGTCCCCAGCCTCCAGCCGGGTAACTCCCATTCCCATGGTGCTGGGAGAGGAGGGTGGGTGGGGCCCGGCCCTGTGGGGGCGGCTGTGCCCGGGCGCCGGCTCAATCCCTCCAACCCAGTGGCTCCAGGCCAGGGGGTGCTGGCTGCCTGGCGTCTACTGCTGCCCACCCTAGCCACCTGCCAGGCCAGCTCCAAGGGTCCATTTGGCCACCCGCAGAGGACTCCAGCCTCAAGCCAAAGCCATGACCTCCAGTGACCTTCTCCTGCCCGCCCACAGCTGCCGCGTCTCCCCAAGCACTGCCCACCTGTGAGGTCACCGTCTGGCAGGGGCGCCAGCACGGGCTCCCAGCCACGGGGCAGCCCCCACCCTGCGAACTCCAGAGGCCAGGCTGCACCAAAGGCCTTGGCTACAGCCTCCACACCTGGCACAGGCGCTGTGCAGCCAACCACTGCCCACAACCAAGCAGCGGGCGGCCACGGGGGACTCCTGCCTCCTGGGTCCTCAGCTCTCTTGGTCTAGCGCTCACACACGCATCTCAGATTTCCGCCCCAAAACTTCCATCCCCCCTGCCACCCCCTAAAACCACCACCTTCCGGGCACGGCCGCGACAGACTCCAGGACTGCACACCGTAGTTCCTTTTCCGTCTCTACCTCGCCAGGGTGAGGCCACCAGGGTCCCCACCGATCGATCCCCACTCGACACCCCCCCAAAGTCCAGGCCACGGGTCTAGCCACCTCCCAGACGTCCTGGCCGCGCTCCCCCTCACCTGCTCCTCCTCCCTGGTCCCCCAAGGCATCCCTCCAGTGGCCGACTTGGAGAATCACCCTTTATGATCCCTGCCAGCCTCGCCTTCCCTGCCGTCTCTGAATTTTCTCCGGCTGCCCCCCAAATGCACTCGGTTTCACGTGTCCGGGCCTTTGCACACGCCCTGCCCCGTACCTGGCGCACCCTTCCCGCTTCCTACAACACTTGGCAAACTCCTGCTCCTCTGGCAAAGCCTCAGCCCCAAAGTCCCCCTCCTCCTGGCTCCTGTCTGAGATGCCCCAAAGTCCCCCTCCTCCTGGCTCCTGTCTGAGATGCCCCAGCCTAGGGACCGCGGGGAGGCTGGGCCGGGGTCTGGGACGTGAAGTGGTGCAGGGGTGGAGGCAGCAGGAAACGCGTTGGCGTGAAAGGACGGGTGCACGTGAGCGCGCCCGTGCCGGGGGTCCACGTGCGGCGCCCCGGGGCTCGCCCCCTCTTCCGTCCAGGCCCCGCCGCCGCCGTCAGACCCTCGGCTGCGCCTCCCGCCCCCAAGCTTGCAGACGCGCCGGGAGAGGGGCGGGGCCGCAGCGCCTCCGCGCTTGCGCCTGCGCACTCGGCCCAGCCGGGCTGAAGTCCCGCCTCCTGGAGGCTGCCTCCGCTGCTACTGGGGCACGCAGATGAGCGAGCGGTGAGGCCACCAATGAGGCGTCCCCGTGGGTGGGCGGGGCCTGAGCCGCCCGACGCGCGGACGGGGGCGGGCGGGGCGCCTTACCCGGGGTGACGTCAGGCTCCTTTCGCGGCGCGTTGCCCTGGAAACCGCGTTTCCATCCCGGCGGGTTTCCGGGGGCCGCCCCCTCCCATTCAGCTTTTTCCTCAATGGTGGGGGGGAAGGGAGCGATCCAGAGCGGACCCCGCCTCCCGCGATCACAGCGGGCCCCGCCCTCTTTGTGCCTCAGTTTACCTCTCCGTGCCTTCCTACGCACACGTGGCCTCCGCCTGCCGCCGGTCTGTCCGCTGCACCCCTGGATGGGCTTAGCCCACCAGACCAGGGCTCTGAACCTGGAGCTCCACACCCCACCCCACGCCCCCAGGGCACAGCCTTGACCCCCGGGATCCCCAGGCTGGGGTGGGGGGTCCTGGAGTGCAGGGGACGCGCCCCCCGCCCTGCAGGCCGTAGACACAGCCCCTGTGATTCAGCAGGTGCTGCAGACAACATCCTTCTTCCTCCTCTCCACCCGCCTAGTGAGGGGGCGGCGGCGCCCTGGGGCCCTCGCCCTGACCTCAGGCCGGGCGCCGGTGACCCGCACCCCCATCCTGAGCCCCTAGGGGACGTCCGCGCCAGAGACGGGGGCCGCCTGACTGGGCATCCGCCTTCCTGACGTGGGCGTGGGATGATTTGGGGTTGACTGGGCGTTGGGAGGGGCAGAGGGTTCTCAGAAAGATGCTCCCAGGGCCACTCCCGGGACCTGTGCCCTCTCCCAGTGCTGGGGCCCCTAGAGATGGGATAAGGGGTGGAGGTCACATCACTGAACAAACACCCCAAATCCTCTGAACCAAGTGATGTTTCTCTTTGGGCCTCTGTTATCCCATCTATAAAATGGGAACTCAATTACTTCTAACGCAAAGCAACTCTTGTTACCTGAGGAAATACAGGTTTATTTTTTGTTTTTTGTTTCTGTTTTTTAAAGACATGAGGCCGGCGAGGTGGCTCACACCTGTAATCCCAGCACTTTGGGAGGCTGAGGTGAGCGGATCATGAGGTCAGGAGTTCAAGACCATCCTGGCTAACACAGTGAAACCCTGTCTCTAAAAAAAAAAAAAAAGGGACATGAAATATTATTGCCCATCTTTACCCAGGCCGGACATGGATGGATTGGGACCCCAGAGAGGACTCAGTCCTGGCGGGGCCTTTGGGGAGCTCCAGGCTGGGAGCAGAGAGAGGAGAGGGTGGGGTCTGTGGGACTGGGTGGGCTGGGGTGGGAGGTGCAGGCTGGGGAAGTTCCCAGACAGGGCAAGGGACAGCCAGGCGAGGGGTGTTGCTACATAGGGGCAGAGGCCGGGAGGTCTGGAGCCCAGCCTTGGAAGGGCTGGAATGTCAGGAGGTGTGGCCAGAGAGAACCCATCCTCTCCCCGCCCAGAGCTGAGTTAAGCCAGGCCTCTATCACCAGCCAGCCCAAGGTACCCTAAAGATTCTCAGGTCCTCCCAGTCAGCCGGGTGATCTCCCTGCAGCAGGCCACACAGAGATGAGGCTCCAGGAAGAACAGCGGGTGGGGCTGTCACAGTGGGTGGGGCCGGCACACCCCCACTTCTGTGTCTGGAGAGAACTGGGCAGATCTCCCCCCTTACTGGCAGGTCCTGAGAGGGGGCCAGGGTCCTCCCCAGGCCACGCAGCAGGCAGGCAGGCCCTTGCCCCACACCCTAAGGGACTTCCGGCCCTGGGTACCAGGAAGTGGCTGGGCTCCTCCCTCCCACACCCCGGCGGCTTCCTGCCCACCCCGCAGCTGGGGAGGGAGCGTGGGAACTTCTCAGGGTGCTGACCCCTGACCCACCCCCTCCGCTGGCCCCTGGGATCCAGGTCCGTCAGTCTCTGACTGGGACATCCCACCCCGGGAACCCCCCCCAACCACGGCCAAATCCCACCAGGTTAGCAGGCCGGACGCTGACTTGTGTTTCATTTTCTGTTTATTACTTGAAATCACGGTGCTTGTGTAGGTTTTTCTTCTTTTTCAATTTTGTTTTCATACATGAAACTCACGCCAGGTGCCGGGACCCCCACAGCCCGACCCCCCGAGGGTGGGTAATGCTTTCTTGGGCAGCCCTTACCGGGCAGAGGGTGGCAAGCCGGTTACTGCCTGGAGGCTCCACCCTCAACCCACGGAGGCACAGACGTTATTTAAAAATCGTTAAAAAACAAAACAGAACACACATTTAAATAGGTATCCAAGACAGTTCTTCAAAAAACAAACCCGCCCCTTTTTCTCCTTTTTTTTTTTTCTATTTTTTTCTTCTTTTTTTTGGAAAAACGAAAACAAAACAAAACCCAAAATCCTTGAGCTTCACCCTCTGGGACCCCTCCCTGCCCACCCTCCCACAAAAAATTTACAGAGCTACAGTTATAACACGTGATGTTCACATCTGAAACCATTAACTTTCAACACATAAAGAGGGGGGAGTGGAGGACCCGGGGTTCACCTACGAGAACAAAGGGGGGGACAGGCAGGGCCAGGACAAGACCGACAGGCAGGGTGGGGAGGGCCCAGACATCTCCTTTATCATTAAAAAATAAAAAATGAGTGGGGGAAAAATCCAAAAACTACCCCATTGAAATGGCCCCAGTAGATTTGTCCCTCCCCTCTGGGGCCAGACACCCCTAGGGCAGGGGCACTGAGGGGTGGGGGGGTCCAAATTAGACCAGCAGCGGACCCCGCCACAGGGGTTAATGCTACACGGAGTTGGCGCCCTCTACCCAGGGGATTCACAGCTCAGCACCCCCCTCCCATCCTGGCTGCAGGAGAGGCCCCCAGACAGTCCCAAATCCCACGTCCCTCAGGTTGGGCTGGGAAGGAGGGCTGGGGGTGGGCATCTCCCCACGCCCAGCCATGCTCTCCCCATTTTTCAAGAGTTCCCCAACCACTATTGGCTCAGTCAGAAAATTAATAGTCTATAAATACCCCAAGCTCAGGCAGGAGGTCCGAAAACACTGGGGTGGGGGTGGAGGAAACAGCACAGTCCTGGCTGGGGGTGGGGGGTGGGCAGTTCCCCTCTCCCTTCCTGGCAGGAAAGGCTGCCACACCCCTAGGTAGACCCCAGCCCCAGGCCCTCTGCTAAAACGGCTTTGCTCTCCTTTTTAAAGAAATGAAGGAAAATGCAAAAAGACACCAAGAAAAGAGAACAGGAGTGGAAGAGAAAACAGTCCCCTCGTAGGCTGCTGTGACCTGTTGGCTTGCTGTAACCCAGTGGGTCCTGCTGGCCTGGGGTGGAGGCCCTGAAGTCTGCACTGGGGGCGGGATGGGTTCTGCACACTGCGGCCCCTCCCCTCACCTGTAAAGTGCATAATGACACGTCGACTTTTTGACTTAAAACCTGAATAGGGTGCGGGGGGAAGGAGGCGGCAGAAGGGATGGGGTGGGTTTCTGAGTCTCCTCCGCTCTCCGCCATCCAGAAAGACTGCTACATATTGGAGCTGGGGGAGGTTGGCAGGGAGGACCGACCGGCGCAGAGGTGACAGAGACAGAGGAGGAGGAGGAGGGGGAGGAGGAAGGGTGGAGGGTGAAGGAGGTAGGAAGCAAAACCCATCAAGAGTCCAGGAAACCACGGTCAGAACTTTTTAAAAAAAGAAAAAGGATGAAAAGAAAGAAAGGCTTCTGGCTGGGGGGGAGTGGCCGCCTGCCCTCCAGAGCTGGGCCGCGCTCTCTGTGGGGCTCTCGGAGTGCCCGCCGCGCTGGGCTGGGGCGCGAGGGGCGAGGGTGGCCGATCCTAAGCCACCACGAACTCTGACTTGATGTCAGGGTTGACTTCCGGCTTCCACACGGAGTCCTCGAAGTCGAGACCCAAGCCGGAGGCCTCGCTGGGGCTGCCGCTGCCCCCGCTGCTGCTGCTGTCGCTGCGGCCGGCCTTCCGGCTGGGTGACCAGTGGTACGGGCCCCGCGCGTCTCGCCGGGCCTTTCTGCGGAGCCGTTTCTGCTGCAGAAGCAGCTGCAGCCGCTCCACCTTGCAGCGCGTGGCGCGGTTTTCTGTCTGCCGAAGCCGGTCCCCTGCGAAGGAGACAGTGGCCTGTGACTCCCAGAGCTGCCACCTCCTGTCCCTGAACACAGAGGACCACCCCAGACCCCAGCAAAGGAAACGGTCAAGGGCGTCCACCATGCTGGGGGTGGTGGTGCCTCATGTCTGTAACGCCAGCACTTTGGGAGGCTGAGGCAGGAGGATCGCTTAAGCCCAGGAGTTTCAGACAGGCCTAGGCAACACACCAAGCCCCTCCTCTGCAAAAATCACAAATTAGCCAGGCATGGTGGTGTTGGCCTGTAATCCCAGCTGTGCAGCTGGCATCTAACTGTCCAGCTGAACCATGAGCGGAAGGTCAGGACTGCCCTGCCTCATCCTTCCTGAGACCTTCTGCCACTTCTGTGATCCCAGGGGAGACACTTGGGGGTTGTTCCTTGGTTTCCCACTTTTTTTTTTTTTTTTTTTTT